GCCCATGCAGGGTCTGCCTGCAGTGTGGTTCWTGTGTTGGGGGACTCAATCCCAGAAAACATCCTCTTGGAATTTCTCCTCCAGAATTAGAGATTCTGCCCCACCTGCCTGTTTTATCAGGCTTTACACACGGACTTCTCCTCCTAATCCTGTGTTGAGATCTTGCTAAATATCCTCTGGGAATCCAGATGGGTTTATATCAAAAAGCAGCTCCTCTCATCTCTGTGCTCTTTGATTTCTTTAGAAAACTCTACAAGATAAGAGTTTGATTTGAAATGTCTGGCTTTCCCATTAGAGATGCTGCATGGGCTCTTCCCCAAAGTGTTTGTTCATGGTTGTTTTTTTATTGTTATTCCACCAACGTGCCCAGCACAGAGCTCAGCCTGGATTTCCTCTGGATTCCTTTAAAAGCTGATGTCATTCTGCCTGCTTTCCCTTTTCCTGGTACCCAGATGGTTTCCAAGGGATTTTTACCATCTACAGGCTATACCMAATAATTCAATTTTTGAGTTAATTTAGTTTATTCTCCTGGAGATGGGATGGCAATGTGGGAAATGGGGGGGTCTCACTCTCTGTCACTGTTTGGGGGTGGCTGCTCCATCTCTGGGCTTCTCAGCTTGCTGAAATTTCTGATCCAATTTTGGATTTTTGACCTGTCTGTTGTTTAGATGCTCCAGCGTGTTCAGGAGATTTAAAAGGTGAAATGGTGTTGCTTTTCTGTGTGGCAGCACATGTTCATCCTGGCTGTGAAGTTTTGACATATATGTGCCTGTTTTATGTGTCTGAGCCCTGGCTTGTTCCAGACACTCTCAGGAACATGTTGCATCAAACTGGCAGTTGCCTCATAAAAAGTGGAATATGAATTAATTCAATCTCATGTTCTTCACTTGAAGGAGGACTTAATCCAGAATTTTTAGTGTTCATCCTTAATTTTAGTGTTCATCTCTTACTTCTTTGTAAGCCTTCTTACATTTCAGTTTTTCCAATTCGGGCATTGTTCCAAAAAGCCTCTCTTGGAATAATTAGCTTGCTTTGATTCCTTGTAATTAAATCATGTGAAGTAGGCTGGCTGTGTGCATGGCAAAGTCACAGGTTTAATGTCTTCTCTGCATTTGGAAACTGGGATTCAAATCTGCTCCAAGTGGCAGCAGAAAAGGGCAGAGCAGCCYTTTGGGGTGWTTGGGGTCTCTGKGKWTTGGGATAACTGGGGTGGGACTGGGTTTCTCCAGGAAATCCCACCCAGCYCTGCTTTCCTACAGGACAGGAAACTGCCCAGTGGATTGTCCATGTCCTGCACAGATGGAATCATGGAATGGTTKGGGTTKGAGGGGTTTAAAGAYCATCCAGTCCCAGCCCTGCTGTGGGCAGGGTCACCTCCCMCTGTCCCAGTTTTGGGACACAATTGGTCACCTCCCAATGTCCCCCTGGCCATTTCCAGGGACAGGACARCCACACTGCCCTGAGCACCTCAAAGGGGAACATCAAAACCTCAAACCCTGCAGCTGTATTGACTGGATTTTATTTTATTTCTTTTACCCACCACAGGAACTCGCCACATGCAGTGCCTTGTGTGTGCCATTTGCATTTGGRATTCTTTGTCACCCAGAAGCTGTTTTAAAAAAAAAATACAATCTTCAGCCAAATAAAGCTTTTAGATCTCATTATAGATTCTGGGTAGGAGCATCCTTCTTCTGCAAGGAGGTGTAAAAGGCAGTTTCAGTATGAAATACTGAATGTTGGAGTAGTTTCTTCTGTGGATAAATTTGGAACACATTCAGTAAGGTATCTTAGGGATAAAAGGGGAGTGACTTCAGGGTTTATTCTGCTGAATGAGAAGAGGGTGATGTTATACCTTGTGAAGAGCAGGGGCTCTGGATGCCAGCTGAGACATTTGTCATCCATTTTTCATACACTTTGTGTCTGCTGTGCCAGGGGTTGGGGTTCTGGCRTGGAATTACACACACGCTGTGGTCTGAGCCTTTCTGCAACAAAGACTGAGGTCTTGGGCTGCAGGAAAATGAAAGAGGAACACTTGGATTTTATGGCTTTGAACAGAAAATAGGTTTATCCTTGTATTTTCTTAAGGGGAAAAAAATCTATCTCCATGACGAAAGAGCAGTGCCTCTTGCTGCCAGGCTGGGAACCTTCCAGAACTTTCCATTGCCACTGAGAGTTGAGCAACATCAGCAACTTCAATGCCCTGTTGTCACCCTGTCACCTCTGGCACTCTGCATCCCTTCCTTTTCACGGGAGCTGATCCTGAGCTGTTTCCTGGACTCAGCAGCTGGCAGGGTGAGCAGAGCTGAGTTTGGGAGGTGATGATGAGCCAGTTCTGTGTCTCAGGTGACAGCAGAGCCCTTTGGAGCTGCTGCAGCCCCAACTCCCTGGAGAGAGGAACCTGTGCCTGGGGATCCTCCTCTGTGTCCCACTTATGCCTTGGCCCCATTAAAATTAAAGGCAAAYCTTGATTAGGTGAAGTTTCCAAAGCTGAGCCGTTAATTTAAGCACAAAATGCAGAGGACTGGGGGGATTTCTGCAGCCAGTGCATCCTGGCATTGCAGTGGGGTAGGAGTTGATGCATCCATTGAGGGGTTTTCTTTTCCAGACAGATTCGTGTTGGAGAGGTCACTGCTGTTCCCTGTAATCAGTGAACAGTCTGGGGGGTTTATTTTTCCTTTGAAAGGAGTAAATTCCTTATAAAACAAACWGACAGTAATTAGGGAGTGGGTGTCAAGGAATGATCAGCACGATGGCTTCAAGGGGAACCATCTCAATGGATATTTCAGCATGAAACGTGGGTAACATCCACAGAAAAACCCCAAACTGTTTCCTTTTCCTGCTTTGGGTGCCAAACTCCTTCCTACTGAAACTCCTCCCTATTTCCTGCAGATTTGTCCATACAGTGTTTTATTCCTGAAGTGTCARCGCTGAAATGGCTTCAAAATGGACATCCTGTCACCAGTTAACAGGGGCAAGSTTGGACAAAGCCAGGAGTGTTTCACAGAATTGTGGCACTGARCAAGCAAATCTTCTCATTTGGCCAAAATGAGAAACACAAGGGGAACAGAAAGGAGAGGTGCTGTTGTATTAGGAAGGAGCAATGTTGTAGTTTAGCTACTGCTTTTTGTGAAAACCTTTTTTGTGGTTTCAAAAAGATAAAATTCAACATCCCCCAACTTCAGCTGTGTTTATTCTGACATTTTGAGGAGCTCCACTGCAGATAAGGCCGGGTTTGGGTTTTCTTGRCAGGGAAGGTAAAGGAATAACGATGGGAGGGAAGAAAAAAAGACAAAAATGGCACTGCCTGGGCTGGGGTGTTACTCAGGTACCTGGTTCCTGTCACTCCCAAACCTCCCACCTGAGTCCTGAGCTGGCACTGGGACTCAGACTGTGCTTATTCACAGCTCCCTCCCCTCCTTTCCTTTCCCCTYGTGTTTCTCCARMCCCAAATGATCTGTTTGCACTTTGGAAATTGAGATCTACAGACTWGAGTTGGAGAGTCTGAATCCACCTCCATTAACTGGGAGCTGTGTTTAATATTGATGCTCCAGGGACGTGAGGAGGGATGGAATGAGCCGTGGAAAAAAAGCTGAAATTCCCCAGCACTTTGGTTCTGGGGGTTGGAGGAGCTGCCAGCAGCCAGGCTGGGATTTAAGGGGCACATTTTTGCAAATCAGCAGCTTCATCACTACCCTGAGTGAAGAGAGGAGGAGGTGGAGGATCTGTGGGAAGATGAATGCATCCTCTGGGCTCTGCTGAGTGCYGAGGTTCCCAGGAAGGATGAGGGTGTCACATCACTGCCTCTCGCTTCATATTTTTCCTCCTTTTGCTTGCTTTTCTCGKGTGTTGCCACCATTAAATGCTGCCATTCATTGTTCCCTGTTGGCTGGAGCTCTGGCTGTTAATTGAGCAGCACTGTATGTGCTCTTCAGGATTCTCAGATAAACAATTAAARTCCCTCTATTACAATGACATTTTAATTCTTTGTTTTCTTTGCCTGCTATAGAGGAAAATCTAAAAAGCCAAATTCCTGTAGCCTTGGTTTGGTTTATAAAAGGCCTCCATCACAGGGTTTGTAGAGGTGTGTTTGTCCTGCTCTTAAACTTGGCTCTTTATTTCAGTACATCATCTTGAAGGTTTTTATTGTGATTCTGGATTTTCAGTCCCTGCAGCTCTGGAGAAGAGASAAAGAGCCAGGCTTTTGTCTTTCAAAGGACAGTTGAAAAACTTCTCGTTATTATTTGGCCTTGCTTCAAAAAAATGAACTTTTGAGTGTGACAAACCAGCTCCTACCTGGGTGTCTTGAGCTCAGCCAAGCTGAAATGGCTTTGAAGCCTTGGGGGTTTTGCCCAAAACCAGTTTGGTTTTCCTTCCATCAGAGGAAGGTTCTCGGAGTTGGGTGAGTTTGGTTGAGTTTGGCTGGGTTTGGCTGGGTTTGGCTGGGTTTGGCTGGGTTTGGCTGAGTGAGTTTGGCTGAGTTTGGTTGAGTTTGGCTGGGTTGGGCTGAGTTTGGCTGAGTTTGGTTGAGTTTGGCTGAGTTTGGTTGAGTTTGGCTGAGTTTGGCTGCATTTGGCTGAGTTTGGCTGGGTTTGGCTGGGTTTGGTTGAGTTTGTCTGAGTTTGGTTGAGTTTGTCTGGGTTTGGTTGAGTTTGGTTGAGTTTGTCTGGATTTGGCTGGGTTTGGCTGAGTTTGGTTGGGTTTGGCTGAGTTTGGCTGGGTTTGGCTGAGTTTGGCTGAGTTTGGTTGAGTTTGGCTGAGTTTATCTGAGTGAATTTGGCTGAGTTTGTCTGGCTTTGTCTGGGTTTGGCTGCGTTTGGCTGGGTGAGTTTGGCTGAGTTTGGCTGAGTGAGTTTGGCTGAGTTTGGCTGAGTTTGGCTGAGTTTGGCTGAGTTTATCTGAGTGAGTTTGGCTGGGTTTGGCTGGGTTTGGTGTCCCAGAGCAGGCTCTGCTGTTCTCAGTGCCCTGAGCCGTGTGCCAGGCTGTGTGCCAGGCTGTGTGCCAGGCTGTGAGCAGTCATGCTGTGCCCTGCTGTGTCCCAGGCCAGGTACAAGCAGAGCCTGGACCCCACAGTGGACGAGGTGAAGAAGCTGTGCACGTCCCTGCGCCGCAATGCCAAGGAGGAGCGCGTGCTGTTCCACTACAACGGGCACGGCGTGCCCCGGCCCACGGTCAACGGAGAGATCTGGGTCTTCAACAAGGTGGGTGTGGGCTCACACAGCCCTGCCAGGCTCTGGAATGTTCTGGGAGGGCACAGAGTTGGGGAGTCACAGATTGGTTTGGGTTGAGGGAGCTCAGAGTGCATCCAGTGCCACCCCATCCATGGCAGGGACACCTCCCACTGTCCCAGGGTGCTCCAAATCCCAATGTCCAGCCTGGCCTTAGACATTCCAGGGATCAGGGGCAGCCACAGCTTCTCTGGGCCATGCCACCCTCACAGGGAGGAATTTCCTCCCAATATGTACCCAAAGTTTCCCCTCTCTCAGTTTGGACTCACTGCTCCTTGTCCCATCCCTTTCCCAGCTTTAGGACACGCTCACAGGTTGCAGTTCCCTGTTTGCTTGTTTTGTGTTCTTGTGGCCAAACAGTCCCTGGGAGCTTTTACTTTGGCATTTTCCGCCCTTTGGCATTTTCTGCCCTTTGGCCGCGTGTTGAGGCTGCAATAACATTTTTCATGCATTTATTGTGGGTGCTGTTGTATTAGGAAGTAGCAATGTTTTAGTTTAGCTACTGCTTTTTGTGAAAACCTCAGCGTGGTTTCAAAAAGATAAAATTCAACATCCCCCAACTTCAGCCATGTTTATTCTGACATTTTGAGGAGCTCCACTGCAGATAAGGCCGGGTTTGGTTTTTTTTCAAATATCTCTGGAGTTTTCACTGATAATTGGGGATGAAATCTGTTCACAGCAGTTTCCAATGGAGCTGTTGTTGTGTCATGAAGAGGTGCTGAGGGATGGTGGGAGCAGGGACATCTCCTCAACTAAATCATGCTCCCTCCCATCCTTTCCATTCCCCTCATCCTCGTGTTTCTCCAGCCCCAAATGATCTGTTTGCATTTGGAAATTGAGATTTACAGATTTCATTGTGTGTGTCCAGCCCAGCGTGGCAGCAGCACCCACAATGCTCAACCTTCCTTAACACCCCTCCTCGCTCCAAACTGCCTCATTTACATATCATTAGCAAATTTGATGTTTTATGTGACCCCCACGGTGGAGTTGGAACATAAAATCCTTCTGGTTGGAAATACCACAATATTAATCAGAGCTATAATCCGATCTCAGCGGGAGCAGGATGTTTTAGAAATAGAAAGGTAAAACAGTGGCTGCCCATAAAATGGCACTGATGAGATGTGGCAGAGCAGGGTTTGATGTGTAAAAAACCCCAGGGTTTGATGTGTAAAAAAACCCCATTCTTTCCTGGCCTTGCAGTGTTCTTCACATGAGGGCTGACCTTAAGAAATCTGAGCTGTTCGTGCCTGGTTCCACACTGCACTGATTTGCAGAGCTCCCAACTCCCTAAAACTTTGGCTTTTCTAAACAATTTTCCCTATTAATTTTAATGAAGCCATCAGAACCGTTATATATGGGCAAAAGTGGGTTTGGCAATGCTTTACCCCTCCCTGCCTTATGYAACACATGGTTTATGATCCCTCCTGTCTTTATCGACGCTGATACGTGTCCTTGAAAATTGGATTTTTGTAAAAAGTTTACTGGTTTTATTACAGCTATTTTAGGTCTCTTGAATTTAAATGAGCGTTATGATCCCATCCATCATCCTGCTGATGTTAATAGGAACATCACAGCTTTTCCTGAGGATTTTGGGCCGGGCTCAGGGCTGGAGGAACACCAGGTTGCCCTCTGCCTGCAGCTGAGAAGGATCTTCTGGCAGCCACTGGCTATTTGGTGGTGACTTTTTGCAGGCACAAATCTGTGGTTTATATTTTCAGCTTGCTCAGTTCAGGATTGGCTCCTCATGGCTGCTTTTAAATGGCTGATTTTTATCCTTTTGCCTCCAGTTATTTGGGGGCGTTAAGATGGAAGACAAGGAACAAGATCCTTCCTATTTACAGAAARGGAACTGTGGGTACCTCACTCCCGTGGAAGGCAGCTTTGTTGGTTTTAATTTTAATGGATAATTTGGAAAGTTGCACAGAAGCTAAAGCTGTAATAAAATTATGAAGCATCTCGTTAGGCTCAGGCGGGGTAGTGCTGATGGGCTGCAGGGGCTTAATTATCCATCCTGATTTATTGATGGGCTTTTCAGTTTAAGATGTTTGATGTTAAATTAAAGACAGCTGGTTTGCATCCTTTATCAGTGTTGCAGAAATTTGGGATAAAATTGGACTATTAAATGCTGTTTGGAGTTGTTAGCATATATCAGAGCTCTAAATATCTGATACTGAAAACTCTTGGCAGAGTTTTGGGCTTTTTTTTTTTTTAGAGTTGAGTGTTTCAAATAATGCCACAATAAGATCTGCTTGTGATTTGTGTTGACTTTGGGTTCGTGTCCTCACTATTGGTGGATATTTGTTGCTGCTGGCCAAACAGCAACAGAAAAGAATAGATATAAAACACACAAAAGTGGGTGAAAAAACAGAAAGAAAGAAAGACTTTATTGTGGGATAAGCCTCTTTTATCCACTTYAGCAACCAGAGTACACATTTGTGTCAAACATAYATTGGTCAAGAGACAGCTGTTTAATTAGTAATTAGAACATAATTAGTGAATTTGTAAAAGCTACAGTATTAGTAATACTTATAATTTTCAGCCACCTGCATTATCAATTCTGCATTCCAATCTACTTTTCTCCAAAATGCAGCATTCTTCCTCCATATAAAATGTCAACACTCCTTTTCTTTTCTCAAGCTTCAATCATACACAATAATTACCTAAATTTCAAAATCAAAGTCTGTGGGGCCCCATTCCCCCACAGATATTGAGTGATATTTGTGTTYATTGATATGTTGAATATAGGTTATATTTTGGGATTTCAGTTGGGATTGCTGATGACAGTGATGCTTTTCTCCTGGCAGAATTACACTCAGTACATCCCCCTGTCCATCTATGACCTGCAGACCTGGATGGGGAGCCCTTCCATCTTTGTCTACGACTGCTCCAACGCTGGACTCATCGTCAAATCCTTCAAACAATTTGCACTACAGAGAGAGCAGGAGCTGGAGGTGAGAGCTGGAGCTGTGCCCTTCACTGAACACAAAGCAAGTTTGCTGTGCACACTGAAAAATGTGTTTAAAACCCTGTTGGAAGGCAAATTAATTTGCAAATAACTTTGCCACTYCAATCTTTCTGGTTCGGTTTGCTATCCCATTAAACTGGGAATGATTTTTAATACAAGCACTAATTAAATGTTAATGTTAATAGAATCAATTTGGGCTCTAATGGGCMTTTCTGCTGAGATGAATGCTGAGGTGAGCAAGACATTATTATTTTGGTTGCAAAACTCTGCTATTTGGGGCTGTATTTTGGATGCAATTACAATTTTGTGCTGTTGTGAATGAGAAAATGTGAAACAACAAAAACCTGATCCACAGAGGGATTGTCCTGGTGGTTCCAGTTCTGCAGRGTGCTGAATGTGTTCCCAATGAAAAGCTGTCATTAATTACAAATGGAATCAGTAATAAATTTACTGGAGCAAATCTGAARAGCAGAGTGGAAGGGAAGGAGTTGGGGTGTTCTGTGCAGCCTCCCCYTGCTCCCCAGAGCTCACAGGGAAAGATTTGTAAATGTTCACTTCTTACAACTCTGTGTTAGAAATCCCAAAACTTCAAGGAAGGAATATTAATTAATCAGGGAGCTGACTGTCACAAACACAACCTCCAAACAGATGTTAAATGTCCTTGCCTGTCAGCCCTTTCCTTCTGAATTCCAGTTTTTGGAGATGCTTTAGTGGGGACTCCATGGTACTGGAGAATACAATCTGATATTGGGATATGCAGAGCATTTCCCTGCTCCTTCTCTCCCACCAGTGCTAATTCCATATTTTGTAAGGATAAGAAACTTCCCATGTCTGTGGCTTGGGAAGAACATTAAACTGCTGGACAGGGATTAACAGAATTGGTAATAGATGCTTTTTGAAGTCAAAGAAAGGTGCTTTGGATCCCCTTCCCCAAGTTTCCCTATCCCTGTGACACTGGGATATTTTTGGGGCCTTTCTCCTTTGTTTTATTATCTTCAGCATTTTGGTTTTGGTTTCTCATTCCATTCCCAATCTGACTTCACCTTCCCTTTCTTCACAAATTTCCTTTTTCCCTTTTCCCTTGCTGAGCTCCAGAGGGGCTTTGAGGCTGTTTTGGGAGGGAGGCAGCTCCAGGGAACTCCAGTTTGTGCAGCAAAACCTCTGCAAGTCTCTCTAAGTGAGAAGGATGAGCTCATAGGATGTCAATTTTTATTTCAACAAACATTCAATTCCATCTTCTGTAGGATTTTTCCTCTTGTGGAATGTGTGAGGTTACATGGGACAGCTGCTTTAGTGTTTTTTTCTTGCAGCACAGGTTAACACTGCCCATTAATTTGGTGATGAAAATCCTTTTAGGGTCATGTGTCAGCTTTTCATTCTGTCCTTAGGTTTCATTAACTCCTGACTGAGGTTCCTGCTTGTGGGGAAGAGAAAGCAGAGCCTTGGAGAGAGCAGAGTGAGAGCGTGGAGGGGAATTCATTTGGAAAATTATAAATTATCTGATGGTTCAAATTCATGAAAAGTGAAGCAGAGCTGGAGCTGGTGGTCCAGAGGGGCTGCCAGAGTGATCAGGATAATTGTTCCCCATCTCTCTGCAAGGAGATCACAGGAGTTTGCTGTTCCTTTAATCTGCCACAGGGATTCTGATCTTCTATTTCCATATCTTGCCCTGATGAAAAAAAAAAAAGATGGGTGGCTGAATTTGTTTACCTGGTTCAGAAAGGTGCTGGAAAGATTGTGTTTTCATTTTGTGCATTATTAATCTCAAAGATCATATTCTTAGAGCCAAAACTTCCAGCAGGAGAATTACTGTGCTTTTGGGAGTGTTGGTCTGTAGGGTGTTTTTATTTTCTAGACAGAGGTTTGGTGTGTAGGGTATTTCTAGGCAGAGGTTTGCTCTGTAGGGTATTTCTAGATGGAGGTTTGGTCTGTAGGGTATTTCTGGATGGAGGTTTGGTCTGTAAGGTTTTTCTAGGCAGAGGTTTGCTCTGTAGGGTATTTCTAGGCAGAGGTTTGGTCTGTAGGGTTTTTCTAGACAGGTTTGCTCTGTAGGGTATTTCTGGATGGAGGTTTGATCTGTAGGGTATTTCTAGATTTGGATTTAGCAGGTGAGTGCTGTTCATTAGACAGGAGTTAAAGCTGTGGCTGGTGCTGCCATAGTCACAAATTCTCCAAACCCACAGCTCTTTTGGGGTTATTTCCTTCTGCCCCAGCAATGCCCTTCCCTGACTCCCCTGCTAATCCCCTTTTTCTCTGCAGGTAGCTGCCATTAACCCCAACCACCCCCTTGCCCAGATGCCTCTGCCCCCCTCCATGAAGAATTGCATCCAACTGGCAGCCTGTGAGGCCAACGAGCTGCTGCCCATGATCCCYGACCTGCCTGCAGATCTGTTCACCTCCTGCCTCACCACCCCCATCAAAATCGCCCTGCGCTGGTGAGTGATGGCCCTGTGGGGTCA